GTCAGTCTTCGTGTCGCTTCGCTTTTTGCACCACTCCAAACGACTGGGCAAGCTGGTTTGAGGTCATGCTGGGCAAGACAAAGAAATGAAATGGTAGACACCTAAGATTTAAAAATAAAGCATGATTGGATAACACTAGTTTTGCATTTCGCTGACTCGTGGCAGAGGAACCAATTATAACTAGTTCAACAACACCCTCACTCTATGCATTTCACTAGCGACATAACCGTGTATCAAAGAGATCTCCTGACAAGTATACGTTTAACACTTTCAACCTACAGCGTGATACTATCCAATTTATGGAAATTTCACATTGGCAATCTCGTACGGAGTCACCACGTCTTATAATTTTGACATATTATGTCGATGCTCTCAGGAAAAACACCTGCGCTTGTCTAAAGACTAGAAGCTATTTATGAGTTTTTAGGTGTCTCAAGTCAACATCATCAGGAAAGGAAATTCAGGAGGGAAAAATCATACCTCTGCTATTTCAGGTCCAACATTTCGTATATGAAGCACTTTTGAAGGTTCCGTCATCTTGGCGTTCGCAGTAAGCGCTGCACACGGGAAAAAAGTAGACAACGTCAGATTCCTATCTCCAAATAAGTTGTCGTACGAGTAACATAATGCTCTTCGCATGGTACTTGCCAAGTGCCGCTTATGACGACTACATGTATCCACAGCTTATCATTACGGGACCAACACCGATTCCACGATTACTGCTACACGCAAAATCATCACTCAACCCATCAAACCACTGCACGATTCCTTCTCGTAAGCCACGCCCACTCCTCACAATAAAGTACCACATTGACACCAAAATGGACAACCCTCTCATTCTCTGCATTCGCACAAGTCACCCCAAATTCACCACAAACCAATCACGCATACACCACACACGGTCCCACCTTGCAAATGCCTGATAGGATGCCTCATAATGTATCTGCTTCACAGAGAAGAGAGATGAAACAGATTTGGTCCGCAGATATCTGTTGAAGGATAAACATGGCAGGAATAAGAAGGCTATGAGGACTAATCTGAGGAACAACAAGAACCAATGCACTGACCATACGAGCACAGTAACTACACAAGAACACCGCTGGGAAGGGTAGTCACACCATTGCAACAACGTCAAACTCTCACTGGCTGATATAGGGTGACATCAACATCTACAGAATATGTACAAAGTTGAAAAAATAGAGAGCATCCAATCCACTTTCCTACACCACAAACCAGCCATCCACAGAATCAGCCTGTATAAGTGGATGAAGATACGCCCGGAAAAGAAGAGATGCGCAGATACCAGAGGACTCGTGAAGGCGAGCAAACGGAGAGACGCACTCTGCAGTGTTTTAAAAACTTCCGAACCAGTCTCAAAGATTTTTAAAACCCATAAGCTAAACCTCCGGGATTTGGGAAAGAGTGATAAAGAACAAAGATGCTCAAAAAAGACATGGAAATGCACTGATTCACGCTTCCAAAGCCCAACGACTGGCTTTCGAAGAAGACCGATTTCTTCAAATACAAAGGAGAAAGGGAAAGTAAAATATGCAAAAAAAAAAAAAAAAAAAAAAAAAAACGCACTCAATAGAACAAACGCGCAATAAAATTCACTTCCATAATACGCCAGCATCCAGAGACGCGACCACGTTACAGGCACACCGCAGACCGCGGGAGCAGCAATCAGACCCAAATGCAAGTGGCTTAGCAACCCCCGACCCCATCGACACCACTACGCTTGCACAGTCCCACTAACGCACTGGCCGTGCACAAACAAACGAAGGTTCTCACCCCAAAAATTGACCCACCCACGCCCACATAAATTGGCAGACGCAAAAAAGCTGTGGCCAGAAGTGCTTGCACCACGTACCGTACTACCCTTCGGGACCGCCGCTCCTGCCCGCACCCTCAAGGCTCCCCGGCGAAACTAGGTATGGACAGTGAAGCCTGGTCAGCCTGGGCCGCACAGCAATAGGTAAAAGGGAAAAGGGGGAAGGGAGGGAGCGGGCAAGGGAAGAGGAGGAGGAGGAGGAAAAACGAGCTTGCAATAGCTCTAAAGCGGGATCATCATCCTCCGAGACGAGGGCTGGGGTGGTGCATAGGCGGGAGCAGCTCCTCCTGGCATCATCATCATCATCATCATCTGGGCTCTTACTTAGATATGGCGCTGTCTGTCACTCACTGCTGCCAAAGTCCACCAAACGACGACACCGCCACAGACACACACACACTCCCACATTCCTCTGCCTCTCTCACACACACTCTCTCTCTCTCTGCCTCAACTCTCTGCCTCTGCCCTCCTGGTTCTTCTTGTGATCCCCGTTAGGTCTTCCCCCTCTCTGGGTCCCAAAATCCTCGGCGTATTGTATCCCTCGCTCCCTCCGCTTCTCCTTCTTCCGTCTTCTTTATTTTTTGAACCCGAGTAGGATACACTTATTTGCTATCAAGGGGAACCAAAAGTTTCAGCCTCCCTGATATATACTGTGGTACCCTGTCAACACGGGTGTCCACTCCATCGCAGTCTTGGCTCGGTACGGCGCCAGGGATCTGGATCCTCCTTGGACCTATGCCCGCGGCACAGCTGCTATTGTGGTGTGCTGTGTGCAGAGATGTAACTGGATACCAAGGGGGCTGTGAAGAATAAACAATATTGGGAGGCAACTTACTTCGCTGTTGTGGCACACTAGGTCTTCACACTTACAGAGAAGACTTACTCGACTGTTGGTGAGGAGGGTCCACTGAGTAGCTTGTTGGGTCCCACGCCTGCACATGCCGCCTTAGTGTGTGAAGATAATTACCCACTTGGGAGCTGGAAAGATCTTTGAGTGGAGGCTGGGTTTAGTGATTAAGCACCAAGATGAGAGAGAGTCCCTGCAAGGAAGGACCAATTTTGTTGTTGATCATCAAAAAGAGTTTTCATGATGTTACACTTCTATCCAAGTGAGAGGTTGCGTTATCGCTTGAGGTGCCAAAAGTTGCCTACACGACAATTGCGAGTCTTGTGGAGTGGGCTGGCTTCACAAAGCTACAGTTGAACTCCCCCCAATTGGGAAATAGAGGAGGAGGACGACTTTTCTGAAACTGGTATTCATCCAAGTCAATCCAGAATTATTATTATTATTATTATTTGGGGTAGAGTACAGTGAAAAATATATATTTAAGAAAGATTGAAAATGTTAGTGAACCCACATTGGCATTGAATGAATGCTAAGAATGGCTCATGGAGTAAGGCGATGAGAGATGTGTTGCCTATGGAAGAGAGCCAAGGGCAAAGAGAAGAATTGGAACAAACATGATTAATCTACAAATTCAAAAGGACATATATTGTTATTTGTTCTCACAACCTTGCAAGAGGTTGTAAGATTAGCATTTTACCCATTGCCTCTAATCTCTCTCTAGTGCCAAACAACATTATTTATTTATTTATTTATTTATTTATTTTATTTGCTAAAACAAATAATCTCTTTGCTCTTGTCCATTATTTTAAGGTAACAAGCATGTAGTCAACAGAGGTATGGGGGCAAAAAAATTGCACCTTGTGGATAACAATCCATAGGTAGAATTCATCAACAAATTTCTAATTAAGGAGGAGTTTTGTAGAATTGGATTGTCATAGAGGGATTTACTAGGAAATGCATGGTAATGAAAAATGGTCTGAAGAAATTAAGTTGTTCTTAAAGGGGATTTTGCATGGAGTTAGGTCTTACACAAAAAATTACAAAACAATAGTTAAAACATATGGTTGCTCATAAGGATAACTTGTAATTGTATTTTTTTTCATTCTTTATTTTTTATTTACATAGCAACAATACCAATTTTTAGAAAAAATATAAGTAATATATTAAGAAAAAATTTAAAATATTATTATCTATATTATTCTATATTTAGTATAAATTATTGATTTATATAAATTAATCTTTATAAAGATATTGACCTTTTAGAAAAAATTAAATTAGATTCTCTTAAATAAAAAAACTAAAAAAACTAAAAATATACAGACATATAAAAAATATAAAATTATTTTAAATAAAAATTAATACTTTTATTAAAATATCTAAATAAATTTGGCTCAAAAAAAATATTTTTTTTTATAATAAATCTTATAAAAAAATTATCATTTGTACAAAATTAAATTTATGGCCAAAAAAAAGAGTATAAAAAAAAATTGAGACTATTATTATAAAAATATTTATCAACTTACTTTGGTTTGGATTGGCAATTGCACAAAATCTTAATAAATTTGGTCTAAATAAAATTTAGACTAGAGTTTTATCAAATTACTTGACGATATAAGAACCATAATTAATATAAACTTCTTCATGTTTAAAAACCATGGTTGTATTAATAAAAAAATTGATAAAATTTTACAATGTGTCAATAATTGTGTAAGAGTTGTGAATTGAATAAAGTGCTAAAAGCTTCTATAGAATGAATTTTATAATTTATAACTTTTTCTTTTAAGATAAAATTAATAAATCTATAAACTTCTTTAATAAAAATCTTATACAATATAAAGTATAAGCACTCTTTAGAAATTAAAGGTAATTGATATTGTCATAATTATAAAAATAAAAATTTATAATATGATGAGTATTAAGCCAAAAACAATCAAAATTAAGACATTAAATAATAAATATACAAAAATAATCAAAATATATTTAAAAATATTATATATAAGATTTTTTTTGGATAATAACTCTATTATCAAAGACTTATTTAAGAAGAATGAGATTACTTAGATTTGTATAATCAGTTTAAGTGTTAATTTGTAGCAAAAAAAAAACAAAACAAAACAAAACAAAAACAAAAACAAAAACAAAACAAAAACAAAATATTTGATATAAATTTTTAAAATGAGATAATAATATATATATATATATATATATATATATATTGATTTTATATTTTTAGTATAAAATAATTAAGCTAATTTTTTTCAAAAAGCCCAAATAGATACTTGTGATTATATTGACACAATTATAATCTATAATATTTTAATTTTCTATCAATTATAAATAGTTCTATTTAGATTAAGTCTTTTTTTCTATCACCAATAGTAAATTTATAAAACAAATTATAATTTATTACATTATCTAATGTTTTTTTATGATAATCTTTAATTTTTATAAATATAAGTTCTATTTTATTTTTGAGCTTCTATAATAGTCTAACATGACTATACATAAGAATAATACCAACTTTTTTATTTTTTTATAAGCATCAAAAAACATTAATTATCACTGATATATTGATATTATTTATTCATATTGTCAAGAATATGTACCACAATAAAATTTTAAAAATTACAATATACTCTTATATTATCAAAAGACTAAAAGTAAAAAACTTATATATATATAATTGAAACTAAAATAGCTATTGCCAAATTTAAAAAAAAAAAAAAAAAAAAAAAAACTAAGAAGTTTTGAACCAAGATAGGATACAAGAAAGAATGAAGAAAGCTTCTCTCTTACTTCAAGATATACCATCTATTAAAGAACTATGTGATAATGTCTTATTGGCCATATGATACGGATGTACATATTTACTCTATTATTTTCCTATATGATTAAGTAGAAGTAGACAAAAGTAAATTTATTTCATAATATTTTTTAATAAGTTTTTTAGAAGCTTCATACATGTTGCTTTGATTTTACATATATTTATAGTTGATTGGTAGATAAGAAACTTTGTCAACAAGTTAATCACATATTGGTAGCTTGTAGAACAAGCTATTTATGTAGCACACATATAAAATACTTGCCTTACAAGTTAAGATATGTATCTTGCAAAGTTAATACGTTTTGGAGATCCTATAGGGCATTGCCACGTAGCTCCTAATTAAGTGTATATATGAAAGTAAGAATAAAGCCTTCTTCACACTTGTCAATACCTTTTTAGTCTTTAGTCTTGTCTTTCGCAAAAATCATTCTAATTTAATACTATATCATCTTTGAGTGATATAAGAGTGTATTGATATTTTAATTCTTTGATGTTCATATCTTTGATAGTTTGATAAGAGTTCCAACTCATTATTATTATCTTTTTTTTTGAAGTGAGTAAATTATCCTATTTCTATTGTTGGATTTTGAAGGTTGTGGATTATCCATCTTTAAAATAATTTATTTAGTTTATTAATATAAATATTTTTAAAAAAAATTAAATTATCTCTTTTTTTAGAAATTTTTATTTAACAATAAAAGTTACAGATTACCTTCTTCTAATTTGACTTGTGGATTTGTTAAGTTGTTTGAAATGGAAAAAAAAAAAAAAAAAAAAAAAAAAAAAATTGAATGTTATACTTGGCAAAAGTCAAAATAGATATGTAACTATTTTAAATATTTACGAACTTGTCAACACTCTTAGGATGGAAATTTCACACATCACTAATACTAGCAATGAAATACTAATCCTATGCCTATGGAAGAAGTTTAGAATCTATGTCAAGAAGTTGTAGAATTGAAGGAAGTAGGTAGATCAATCTCACAACCAAATCCAAGAAGTTTTGCTTCTATAAGTATAATAGAAACAAAGATTAGTACGTCCGAGAAGTTTGATGGAAGAAGATTGAAATTTCAAAGATTTCTACAACAAGTCAAGCTCTACTTAAGCTTGCATTCCTTCCAATACTATGATGGATTTGATCAAGTTGGATTTATAGGCATACTTCTATTGAGAAGTGCTTTCTTTTGGTTTGTACCTTTGATGGAAAAAGATTCACAACTCTTTTATATTTTGAATTTATTCTTAGGAGTATTTACGGCCACACTTAGAGAAAAGTGATTGTAATAGAGTAGTTGCAACAGGGTATAGATGAGATAATTATATAGATAATTAAAATCATAGAAGTTTTTAGAATTGGGGTTAAGTTAGTAGAGCAAATAAGATCCATTGTAGAACATTTTAAAAAAAGATTTAGGGTGATTATTTAGATAGGATCTACCATAGAATCTTCTAAAAGAAAGCTTATGGCAATTATTTAGGTTGGATTCACTACCAAGAACCTTTTAAAAAGTTTAGGATAGTAAAACATGGTATAAATATGATTGATCAAGGCTTTTTGGGGCATCATGTAAGATATGGCTTCGAACCCTTTCTCTTAATAAAATTTGATTCTACATCTTTCTATTCAGATTTATTCTCCTCTATTTGTGTTTGCTAAGTTTTGTCTTTCATGTCTTATTTTGTTTAGTTTTGTTCAATTTTATTCTGGTATGTTTTGTCCTATTTTGTAATGAGGCATTAGGTTGTAGATTGGATAGATCTTGGAATTTTGAGTTAATCTAGTCTTATTTCATTGATATCAGAGCAAGTATTAGAATGTTTACTTTTAGTAGCATATTAATAGTTATTATTTAGTCCAAGATCAATTATTGTAGTTATACTAGGTATTATGTTGAGGCTATCACAAGTTATTCTTGAAAAGTCAATCGGGAGGTGAAAAGGCATTACAATAGTGGATTTTAGGAGTGAAAGTATAGTATGGGAGATACGAGGGAGCAATCCAAGATAGATGCTCAAATACAATACCTCTTAGGCTAGATAGCTACTTTACAAGAGCAAATAGAAGCCTCGAGGATAAGAGAAT